TTTTTATTTTTATACGAAGTGCTTATTATTTTTCTTCATGCAATGCTATATAAGTTTTCTAATAACTGAAAAATATTATTTTGTTCAATATATTGATTTAATATAAATTATTTTAAACTCAACTGCACATTTGAAAAAATGAATTATTTGAAATTTTAGATTGATAAATTGGACATGTTGTAACGCACAAAAATAATATTTAAAATAATTATTCTTTTAGCTTTAGTATAATAATAATCAGAGTTATATAATCTCTTTTATCACTAAAAAATAAGCAAAAATAAAGCTATTGGTCAAACATCAATATACATCTAAATTTATTACTCTAAAAAATCATATAAAATACTCATGAATATAATAATCATAATATGTCATTCTAAGCACAAGTATAAAAGAATTACTTAAAATAAAAAGAATTTGAACATGAGAAATTCTAATCAATCTCTCATCACTCTTGGTCGCTTAACCTGACCTGAAATCATTTAAACCACATATAATAAGCTAAAAAGTTCAACATGTCATTAAATCTTACAACTAAATTTAAAGTACGGTAAGAAAATAGTATGCATTTCGCCAGTTAATTCATAATAATAGTAATCATTATGATCATGAATCTCTAAATAAACAACAAATCTCGAATACAGTGATAGTAAATCCATGAAATAGTAGAACAATACGGTACATAAGCCAATAAGCCATATAGTGTGGAAATGAGTAAATCAATATGAGTGTCTTATCAAACCAATAAAGTTGTCCTTGTATTTAAATCAATAAGAATGTGATATAAATCGGTAGAACCAAAACCTCGACAAAGAATGTGAAACCCATATAAACATAGTAAAAATAACTATTCTTCCTCAGTATCATATATTGGTGGGTAACACCGCAACACTGCATATTGAATCAAGAATAACTATAAAACATAGACTTTAACATTGCAGCTGTCATTCTAGGAGCCATTGGGCTCCAAAACCTAGCGCCTCGATGCTCAAAAGCATATCGTCGTTGCGTTGTAGTTTAAATAGGAATTTAAAATTTTTTTAACATGTTTCATAGTTTCGTGTTACCACGTACACATGTTGAACTGTGTTAGCTGAAAATTATTTTGCCTTTTATTTTCAAGGTCTGAGAGAGAGCATGCTAGTTGAGTAACAATTTCAGGATATGATATGAGCTTGAATGTATCTTTCTTTCTTTTGACTTTTGTTCGATCATGATTAGCTATTATTGTGATTTGTTATGTTTTGTATTTCAATCTGTAGCCATGAACTATAGTGTGATCCTGGGGTTGGCCTTTTGCAAACCAACAAGATAGGACATGTTTCATCTATGAATTTTATTGGGGAGGGTTGTGATATTCTATCCCATAACTATAAGCTTAAAATGTTTATTGGATTGAAGGTCATTCTAATGCATCCCAGTATTTGAACTCATCCTAACATGCTTAAATTATCATGTAAAGTCATGTGACTACATAATTCACCCTTCCAACCCTCCCTAAATTGCTTCTAATGATGGGTTTGTTTTGGCTGCCTCCTCTAGTAAAGTCAAAGTGAAATGAAAAAAAAAAAAAAATCAAAATACTAAGCCTAAGTAGAAAAATTCCATGTTGGGAAGATAAATTAACAAAAATTCAATACATTATATCTCTTGTGTCAATCACATAATAGGTAAAAGTTCTTTCTCGGCTTTCTACTTATGTTCATGAACTAAATTAAGAGATGTATCATGGAAATTCCCTTATGATCAATAATGGTTATTGGGAAAAGACTTTTTCAATTCATTAAATGGTCTCCAATAAGAGTTCTATTTTTTCCTTTTCTTTTCATGATGGATATGTATTATTTTTCTCATATATTGGATGACTAGGCTTAAAAAGGTCTATATTATTTGAGTTTTTCTAAAAACTTCAAATTTAGTTATTTACTTTATGAAGATATGATATTGGTTTGAAGAAAAGCTGAATAAATCACTTTCCGAGCTCTAAATCATTGTCTTGTCTCTTTTGAAAGCATTATGGATCTTTGGGATAACCTTAATACATCTAGATAATTTTTTTTTTCATCCATTTTTTTGCTCTATGACCATTTATATAACTTTTTGGGGTTCAAATTAGGCTCATTTCGAATGAACTATCTTGATATCCCCTTATGACAAGTATAATTATTATTATTTTTCTCTCTAATTCATTTGATAGGCTAAAAAACTCGATAGTTAGTGGAAATATAAGTAATTCTTTCAAGTACTTACTTTTCTACCTTAATTACTTATCCTATTTGCTTAGATATGTTTATCTCCCTCTATATATTTAAAAGAATATCACATCACTTACTATAGGATATTGCTTTTATATGGATAGTGTTAAAAGGCTCCATTTGATTTCTTGGCAAAAATCAGACTTCGAAGTTGTAAGGCCAGAGCTGATATTAACTTTCTCATCTCTTAATATTTTTGACAAAATAAAAAATATATGGAGAGACATTAACTCTTATAATCTATTTCCAAATTTGTATTTTGCTTCATATGACTCTATTTGGAGTACGAATGGGAATAGGATGTCAACCCTTCTGAAAGAATTAAAAACACTTGTATTTTTATATCACTTGGGTTAACTTTCTCAAAAGAGGATAATTCTACCATTTATCTTTCCATTGACTTCCATTAATGATAATTCACTTCTTAATATTTGGCGAATAATATGCGTACTCTTTTATACATGCCTTATGATGCCAAGATTAATTCCCTTATTATTAATGGTTATTGGTGCTTACTTGAGGCTCTTCATTATCTTCTCTCTCTCTCTCTCTCTCTCTCTCTCTCTCTCTCTCTCTCTCTCTCTCTCTTCACTATTTTAATACAACCACTAACATTCCAGTTAATACTATTTTTTATAGTATTTTATAGAAATGCAAGAATTAATTTTCCCTTTATGACGCTAAATTGATCATTTTCTTTATATCATTGAATGTATATTTGGGTAAGCTCATTTGGCTAAAAAAGTGCAAATGTATGGCCTTCTTTGGCTTTTTTTGGTGGTCAACTTTCTACGGGTTTATGAGAAAATTAATTCTAGATTATGTTATATCAACATGCTTTCTAAATAGTCTATTGCTTGCTTGTTATAGTTCATGCTAAAATACATAATGCTTTTTAAAGATTCTCTTATATGCTCATAGAAAGTTGGGTTGCTAATTTTATGTATATTTTTGCTTCTTTTTTTTCTCAGTTGGCTATTTGGTAGCACATAGTTATTAATGAAATGATGCGCTCTTTATAGAAATATTGAGCTTTTTATTAGATCTTATCATATTTCTATAATAAGGTTATTAAGTTACGCTTTATTCTCTAAATTTATTCTTTGTAATGTCACTTTCATACAAAATCTAATGCAATCTCGATGCTTTGACTCTTCACAATTTTTTTTATTACAAATATAACAGTTTAAAAATTAAATATTAAAATAATTAAAAAAAAACCAATATTTAATCAAATAATAAACCACAACTTTGAAATATACTATATGAGAATGATACATTTTAAGAATAAAAAAATTATTATTATTATTATTTCTTTGGGGGGGGGGGGACTAATTTGAATCATATTATTAAAAAAAGCCATTTATTTAATTAAGAGGAGAGAAAAGCCATGTGATGTGTCTTATAGTGTATCTTTGGAGCATCTGAATGTCCTACTCTCTGATGTAATGATAGACATTTTATAAGATATTTTTTAGAGGGCTCTAGTTATATATATAAAAAAAGTTATTATAAAATTTTATTTTTCAAAAAAAAAATATAATAATAAAAACAGGATGTGTGAGATTGGATCTATATTATTATTTAATAATATTAATGAGCTTTAAAATATGATTTAAAACATCGAGCAATTAAATGAGTCCTAACTTCTAATCGAAAGTGCTCAACAATTTGATTTTGTCTCATTAATATTATAAAAAAATTTATGTATAACTCTGATTTTGATCCAAAACATACGTAATTAAGCCCAAACATTTTATTTATTTAAAATTATGATTTAAATAAATGTTTATGTGGGTTATAATAGAAGTTCACAAAAGGGTGTAAATGAGTCAAGGCAAATATCTGCCTAATCAAACCGACCTCATTAATTTTTACTAGGCAAGAATTCAAGTTCGAGCTGACTCGAGCTCATTTGTTTATCCCGACCTCGAACCATTAAATTTTTTTTAGGATAGAGCTTAGCTCGATTGCCCAAGCTCATTTGGAAAGGTTTGTTTGTCTCGATTGTTGAGCTGGATTTATTTGTTTTAAAATAATTTTGTTGGTTTTTAGAATTTTTATTTTTAATATAGAAACAATTTAAAAAGATTGAAATGCATTATATAATATTATTTTTAAACTATTTTTAAAATTATTCGAATAATTTGGTCAGCTTACAAGATGAGTTAGTTGAGCTCGAGCTTCATAAAACATGAGCTCGAGTATAAGCTCGAGCTAGAGCTTATAAATCATTAAACACAATTTATATGCTCATTAATGAATAGAGTTAGAGCCTACTCGGCTCTGTTATTATGTAAAAAATCTCTCTTTTTTATTTTTATTAAATATATATTTTAAAATATATTTTATAATATTTAATTATGAAAGTAGTCAAAATAAATCGCAACCCTACGGATCACAATTTGAAAATTTTGCTGTGACAATGAAATAAAATCTTAACGGAAACTTTCTGATGGCACAAATATGAAAGTAAAAAAATTGAAGTATATACTATATACTGATTTTTAGCTATGTTTTACAGTGAATGGAGCGATCAAAGGGTAACGTAGATGCTAGCACAAGGAAAGTTTTCTTAGGGTGTGAAATGAAAATAAGGAAATTGCATTATCAACGCTCACTTAAAATCCTTATAATTAATTATTTTATATAATTGTAAAAATCTATTATTTTTTTACAGAGGGTTTCTATGTAAAAGCCAAATTATCGGGGAAAACCGGAAAAGAACTAATAAAGGGCAAGGATGCAGCTAACAGAGCTTGTCTCTGCGATTTGGAATCGTCAATCGTCATCTCTCTCTCTCTCTCTCTTTCTCTCGTGCTTGGAGTGGGAGAGTCCGGACTGATGAGCGCACAGGACTAAAAACACATTCTTTTGCTTTCCAATCTTCTCCATCCTTGGCCTTCTGTTGATGCTTATTTCTCTGCCTGAAGGAACCTCCAAAGGATAATAGTATTTTGTTGGCTTTTCCTTTGCCTGCTTCTTCTCTCCTCTTTCTTCTTCGTCTTCTTCAGATCTGAAAGTTATCTGAAGTAGTTTTATAAGCTTGGGCTAAGATCTCACTTGTTGTGAACAATGAGCAAGGAAGATGACATCAAGTTCCTCAAAATACAGGTGCTCTTTGTCACTCTTCATGCCGATCTACTATCTGTCATGTCGAATACGTTGTGTATTATGCAAGATCTTCACCTTTTGTTCTTCTTTTCACTCGCGGGCTCTGTTAATTCCCTGATCTGTGATTTTGTTGTTCAATCATTTTATGTTTGTGATGTTTCTTTGTTGCAGACGTGTGTGCTGAAGGTAAACATACACTGTGATGGCTGCAAGCAGAAGGTGAAGAAGCTGCTTCAGAAAGTTGATGGTAGTGTACAAGTTGAAAACTTTCGTTTGCTTGAATGGCTACGGTGGTTGATCTTTGATGGAAAAATTTTACAATTAAAAAACTAGTTCTTGCTACTATTCCAGTGGCCGAGCGCGTCTTTAATGGCTAACAAGTTGTCTCTTTTCGCTTTCACAGGAGTTTTCCACACTAACATTGACGCTGAGCAGGGGAGAGTAACAGTCTCCGGCAATGTAGATCCGGCCACACTAGTAAAGAAGCTCAACAAAGCCGGAAAGCACGCAGAGATTCTTCTTCCCAAGGGCGTCAACATCACTCAGCTGCAAAAACACCAACAGGACAACCAAAAAGCTCACCAGAATAAAGACAACGGCAAGCCCCCTAAATCCAGCGCCGGCGCCGGAAACGGCGGTGGCGGAGGAAAAGACCAGAAGGGCCAAGCAACACAGGCGCAGCCGATGAAAGGGCTCAAAGATCTGAAGTTTCCCCAGCTAAAAGACTTGAAGTTTCCCTTCCATAAAGATCCAAAATCGGTGAAGTTCGCTCTTCCACCAGAAGTCGGCGAAGATTGCAGCGATTACGACGATTACGACGATGAAGATGACGACGACTTCGATGATGAGGAGATGGACGAGTTCGACAGTTTCGACGCCGACTTCGATGACGACTTCCGGAACCTCAAACTCAAGCCTGGTTCTGCTCCGCCTAACCACCCTAGTGCGGCCATGGTGATCCCCGACAAGAAGAACGGGAAGAAAGGGGGAGCTGTTGAAATCCCGGTGCAGGTCAAGGGAATGAACGGAAACAACGATGGTAAGAGCGGGAAGAAGGGTGGGGTCAGCCAGAATCAGGCCGGCGGCGGGGGCGGAAAAAACGCCGGCAAGGTCCCGGGCGGTGGTGGCGTGACGCAGGACGTCAAGAATGCTGGAAACAATGGCGCCCCCAAGCCCAACGCTAATTCTGGGAAGAAAGGCGGCGGTGGTGCAGGCGGCGGCGGCGGCGGTGGCTTAAAGAACGAGGCTGCCGGAGGTGCCCCCAACACCGCCAAAGGCGGAATGATGGGCCCTCCTGCCGGTTTTCCAGTGGGCATGAACGCCGGGCAAATGGGCTTCATCCCGCCTATGGGTCAGGCAGCAGGAGCCGTGCAGGGTCTACCCCCTGGCATGGCGCCGCAGGGTTACTTTCCCGCCGGCGGGATGCCAGCGATGAGCCCTGAAATGATGGCTGCCGCCGCCGCCGCCGCTGGCGGCGCTGTAAATCCGTACCAACAGCAATACATGGCAGCGATGATGCAGCAACAGCAGAGAATGATGATGAACGGCCAGGATCGCGGATACCCACCGATGATGGGTTATCCCCGGCCTCCACCGCCCCCGGCGATGTACATGTCGCAGCCGCCTCCCTATGCCGAACCTTACACCAACTACTTCAGCGATGAAAACGCCAATAGCTGCTCGATTATGTGATGGAAGAGATGGATAATTCGAAACATGGAGAATATAAGTGGGTTAATTAGACAATTTCTTAGAAAAAAATTTTAATTTTGTTTTGCTCTCACTAAGTTGCAGGTTGTCGTTCTAAGTTTTCAAGTTATAATTATAATCTTATATGTGTAACTCTCTCTCTCTCTCTCCCCATCTCTTCATATATATATATAGAATAATAGTTAAGCTTCTTTCTTAAGGATTGGTTATTTTAGCTGTTGCTGGTTAAAACTATCATCTTGCAGGTTCTTTTGCTTCTTTGCTTTCTATCTTTGAAGGGAATTTGGTTATATGTGTTTAATGGTGGGGAAAAGCAGAGCAAACTGTGTAAAATGGTAAAAAGAAAAGGCTTCCCTTTGTTTTTGATTGAGTTTTGTTGGATCTGTAAATAAGGATGTTGAGAGTATTTTCTGGCAATACAAATTGTGGAATTGGTTTGCTGTGTGGTAGAAATTTATCCTGAGACTGTATTTTCTGTTTGTGTAAGGTTAAAGGATATAGATTCTGCTTTAACTCAGGAATTGCTTTAGATTTTGTGGGTAGATTGTTATGATTGAAGTTATTTTAGCATAAAAAAGCAAAATCATAATCAAACAAACAGGTTCTTTTTGCCAATTTGAGAGACTTGTCTAAAAATGTATGACTAGAATAAATATATATATTTTTTATAGTTATCACATTTTATTTCATCTAACTTAAAAATTAGTTATATACATGGTTCACTCTTAGGGCTGCAACCGAGCCGAGTATGTGAGTGTTCATGTTTGTGTTCATTTAATATCAATTTGTTCAAGTCTGGTTCATGTTTGTTCTGAGTTTTATTGTTTGTGTTAATGTTTGATTCATTTAAATTAATGAGTGTTTATGTTCGGTTCATGTTCAGTTCATGTTTGTTTGTTTAGTGCTTATCGAGCTTGTTCGCGAACATATTTGACGAGCTTATTCACGAGTTCAAAATCGAACACAAATCGAGCTTCTTATCGAGCTTAATGTCGAGCTTGTTCACGAACTTCAAATGATGTTGTTCGCGAACATAAATGAGCCAAACGTATTAGTGTTCAAGTTTGTTTATTTAAGAATCGAGTATTTAAAATATTGTTCAATTTTGTTTATTTAGTTAATTAAACGATCACAAACGAGCTTTAATCGAACCGAACAACGAGTAGCTCGTCGAATGTTTGGTTCGCTTGCAGCCCTATTCACTCTTGCCTGTTGGTTGAGAGCTCATATTTTCAACTAAGAGGTTTCGGATTCGAGTCTTTATGTGTTGTGCGAGTGAATTTAATTTAAATGGCCTAAATGTTAAAAAAAAAAAATTATATATAACCTTTTTAAATTAATAGAAATTAAAATAAAATAAAATTATGTAGATTTGTTAAAATTAAAAAAAAAAAAAAAACTTGAACAATAACTTTTTATAATACTTCTAACAATTTACATAAAAAGCAGGGAGAGGCTAAATTTTTGCCACACAACAAATCAAATTCACAATTTGTATTGCCTGAAAAGTGCTTTGAACGCCTTAAACACATTTATATAAAATTTTTGTTGTTGTGTTAGAAATGAAACTCAGTTGAAGATGAATTATTATTTAATATGATTGTTATTATATTTTAGAGTGAAAAATAAAATTTTCTGTTTGAGATGCCCTCAAAGCAAAACATTACTCAAAAAGAATAATGGAGAGCTTTCTTTTAACCATTTTTCATAGGGGTGTCAATTCGGGTCGATAGATCAGGTTCGGGTCCAACATGGAACCGCGATCTGTGAGTCAGCGACAACGAGTGCGGGCCGTGCGACTGCAGCCTTGCAGGTGGAGTTCGATTTCGCTACTCGCAAGGGAGCGTCAGGGTGGCCACGGAGTCCAAGTCCGACTTTCGGGTCATTATCGAGTTGATTTCGGATTTCTTGGTAAACCTGAATCCGCCCAATTTTTTGAAACGGGTCAAAAATTTGAACAAGAACTCGACCCGTTTGCTAAACGGGTCAAACTGAACCCGGATTTTTCCGAGTCGGATAAAAAATTGACACCCCTAATTTTTCTTTTCACATAATTTACTCTATTTTCCCGCCATTAAACACTTATAACCTGATTACCATATACGATAGAGAGTAAAATGAGTATGTTTGGACAATATCATGGGTGCAAACGAGTTAAGCTCGAGCTAAAGGGTGTTTGAGCTTGGTTCAAATGCCAAATACTGAGCTCGAACAAGTTGAGTCCGAACTCCAATCCTGCGCCCATCTTCTGCGGATTCATTATCTCCCGTGGATTTGTTTTCGTGCCTGCATTCTGCATTCCTGTCTCTCGTCTGCCCGCAGTTTCGTTTTGCTATCTAGTCTGAGCTTCGATCCTGCATTGAGTCCACTTGCATTGTTCTGCCTTCACGACCGAGGTCTGCGAGCTGCTCGGTCGGTGAGCGGATGGATGTTCAAAGTTGAGCTCGATAAGCCCGTCAAGCTCAAAAATTGTTCGAGTTCGACTTGTTGACAATGGCAAAGAGAGTGGGGGGCCTAGAGGGGAACGATTTAAGTTTTTTTAAATTAAGATTTGGTTTGAGATAATTTTTTTGCTCCTTTTAAAAACAATTTTTTAGTACAAAAAATTATTAATGTTTTTACTTAAAAATGTTTTAAGAAGCAATAAAAAGTCATCTCAAACAAAACCTAAAAGAGCGTCATAAATGTCAATTCCAAAGTGTTATAGATCAAGTTTTATCTCTGTCATTCCTTCGGTAAGTCATATCTTCTTGAAATGTATCATAAATATTGTTGCGGGCTAGAATATACGCGCCGTTAGAGTTAGAATTTTTCGTCTCAGCGTTATACAGATATCCAGTACACAAACATAAGAGAAATTAAACACCAAAATTTTTACATGGAAACCCTGGAAAGGGAAAAACCACAGGTTCACGCCCAATTGAAAGAATTCCACTAGTGTTTGCTTTATATACAATAGGCTTATTCGTCTTTAAAATTTTGGACGATCATATTACAATAATCCACTCCTGGATTGAAATTCAGTTACAAATAAGAATTTGAGATTCGACGATATTGGGTATTCAGGCTGAATTCTAGAGTCACTTGGAGATCGGACAGAATTTCGGTGTCACTTGGAGATCGGGTGGAGTTTCGGCATCACTTGGAGATCGAACAGGATTTCAGCGTCACTTAGAGATCAGGCGGAGTTTCAACGTCACTTGGAGATCGGACAAAGTTTTGGCGTCACCTTAAAGTTGGGCGGAACTTCGGTGCCACTTGAAAGTTAGGCGGAACTCCGCTCCGGCGTCACTTGAAAGTCGGGCGAAACTCCGATGTCACTTGAAAGTCCGGCGGAACTCCGGCAGTGGTCGAGGAGGAGCTTCTTCCATCCTCCTCTTCTTCTCTTCTCTTCATTTTTACTTGGGTCCCCTCTTAAGAGAAATGAGGGGCTATTTATAGTTTTCTTAGAGTAGCATGACTCATGAATAGGAGTAGGATTAAGGGAAAATGGGGAGTTTTTTGGATAGACGATCGATATTGAATCCCTTGATCATTGACCGTTCATTAGATATTTGAAGGTCTTAATGATATCAGAATTCAGTGATCTTGGGCTCGTTGGATTCGTCTTGTCGAGCCGCTTGATTCGACTATAATCAATTCATGTTTGGAAACCATTTGATAATCCAAATTGTGGTTTGAATCTTCAAACCGTGCTTCGGGTCTTCGATTCGGACCCATTTGTACTCGAATTGAGTTGAATTTGGTGTCGTTGGGTTCGTATTTTTGAGACGCACAGTTCGACTGTAATTTGCTGAAATTGGAGTTCAGATGGTCCCAGATTTAATTTTTAAAGCTTCCAATATGATTTTGCCTTGAGATTCGTGCCTGATCAAGATAATTTTTTGATGATATATCAAATATAATATTCGCACAAAGGCCTATAAAGAATGAATGTGTTATTTTATATGGATGATTGAATAAGTCTAAAATTACATGTGATTGCAGACGTGCTGCATACCCTTCAAACCAATACATCAAACAATTTTGATCAGTACTGTAGCTATTTCATTATATGGTAATTGAATTGTCAAGCGATCCATTGAATAAAAAACATACGGCGAAAAACTTCTATTTAATGTTCACAAGATTATTGCTATATCATTCTCACTATGTAATAAAGAATCCTCCCTCAAAGTTATCAAGCATAAATCCTTAAAAAACTAATTGAATTTAACAAGTTCCTTCCAAATAAATTTGATTAAAGCTAATAAAGCTATTAGCAACAAGCATTCCATGGAAATATGGTAATAATGACTTTTACAATCCAATTCACTTTGCATCCCTCGTATAAACGAGAGATTATTACGAGCGGTGTTCAGATCGGGAACTGCTCGGTTTTTTTTTTGTGTGTGCATTTACTATTCACCACTGTGCTTTTGTTCACAAAACATAATGCAACTTTGATTCAGATTCCGCACGTAATAATTTCTCCATATGAAAACTGTTAGCCTTATGCTATTACCGTTATTATACACTTCACTGTATTTACTTTTATACCCACTACAGTTTTATATATATCTTGCTGTAATGTATCTGAGATAATATAATTTCATTTGTTTCTTCTTCTTCGTTCTTGTCTTCCCTATCTATCTCTCTCGGCTTCTTGTCTTCTTTCATGGTATCAAGAGCCATTCAATGGGGGATCAGGACTCCGTTACTTCCCACCCTCCCTCGTCTATCAATCTCTCTGGCGATTCGGACATCACCATCCCGCCATCTCTGAAGTTCCTCATTTCGCATATCAAGAATCTTCTACCTCATCCCCTAACGGTAGAAAACTATGCAATCTGGCGTCTTCAAATTCTTCAGCACTTCACGGCCAATGGGTTTGCCGATCCTTCTCTCTATCGTCGCCTAGCCGGATCTCTCCAATATCTAACCATAACCTGGCCCGACATTGCTTATGCTACGAATCGCATATGTCAACATATGCAAACACCTAGCTGTCAAGACTATCAAGACTTAAAACGACTACTTCGGTACATCAAAGGGACAGCTCACCTTGGTCTACCGATCACTAGAGGAAATTTGATCTTACAAACCTATGCCGATGCTGACTGGGCAGCGGATCCAGTCGACCGGAAATCTGT